TATTAAAAAATATCTAGCTCCATATTACTTTTCTCTTCGTACTTTTCATCACAGTTTCATCAGAAATCAGGTTGGATAAATTTTGGTAAAAAATACAATATATAAAGGTTTTAAAATTTATATATAACAGTAGTGTTTGTGTCAGTTTTTGTTTATGCACATGCACATTTTATAATAATGTGGAATTCTACATCCAAGAATAACTTAACCTACACTTATAACAACATCCAATAGGAAAAAAAAGTGAAAATTATGTCTTAAATAATTCTTAATTTTAGCCTAACTTTTTTACTTGCACATTTAAAAACGAATTAGTATTAAACAAATCTACTGACTATTAAAAGGATCATTTAGACACATTACAATGCCTTAGATCAGTATCATTACTGTCAATGTTTTTTGTCAAGATTCTGTCTTAATGAAGAGGATATACTAGGTCCAAAATTTATTTTGAAATTTTAAAATTATAAACATTTATTTAAGATATAATTTAAAATTTTCTATATGAAAAGTTAAAATCAACTCTCAATCTTAACATTTTTCTCTTAGATATAAATATTTACTTTTGTTATTTTCTTCTGATAAACAACAAATATATGTATATTTTTTAATGAGATAAAAAGTTATAACTTTGAAGTTCAACAGTATTTCTTTATGAAATGAAGTATCAAAAGGCATGTTAACCCTATGTTAATGATTGGGTTAAAATGTGCATCACAACCTATTATAGTTACATTACAAATTTAATTACACTTCATTTTCAACGCATGTAAATAAGCATGGTATTAAAATATAGTTTATAATTCAAAGTTTAATATTATAAGTTTTAATTTCTTAATTTCAGCAACAAATATTTAAATAAATTCTCAATCTTCACTTCTCTGTTATGTGATGACTATGTGATCCAAATTGTCCATTTCAGATTTAATTTGTATTATTATATGATCTTTTGTGTCCAACTAATGACAAACACACACTAAAGATACCAACAACCCAAAATATCAACTAAGAACCTCCAATCTTCTTGCTTTAATGAAATAACAAAAAAAACAAACCTACATGACATGCTCCTCCTATATCATTATGTCTTTCAACAAATGTTGATGATTCTTTCCGACATTGTTATTTGATTAATTAAAACCAATAGAAAGAGCAGCTTTTCCTAAGATTGCTTATACCATTAATCATTTTTCCGTAACTAGATATTTAGCCTCAGTTTGTGATTGTGGTTTTAAGCTTCAAGCAGTTAACACAATTTTTTTAACCTACTTATAGCTAAATCAAAAAGCAAGTTAAATTACAGTAGTTTGTGACATTCTATTCTAGTGCCCGATGTATTTTATGTTCTATAATGCATATTTAACAAAACATTAAAGATTTTGTGAAGAATCAACATAGTATGAAAAAACTAAGAAAGTACGCTCTTGTGTACAAATTAATGAAGCAGACTTCAACTGTAAGTCCAAATTTCTCTATATAAATTCATAGATTTATTGTTACATAATTTACAATAAAAGTATCTAAAATGTAAAAATTAGAAATTTTTTAGGTTTGATTACAAAAAGTGAATGAAAAATATTAAACTGAATCATGTGATTGTAATTCAATTGGTTGTTTACACTAAGTTTTTCTCCTGGGACTAACTGGCTGTAACTTAGTTAGATAGGAAATAAATGGTTATGTAAAGTAATAATATCAAAACTAACCAGATGTGTGAAAAAGTTTCAATGCTAAAGCTTTTTCAGTAAATAAATGTAATTGTTTATTACAACCTGCAGTCATTCCAGAACAAAATAAAAGTATGGCTGATTTAATTTTGTATTTTTCATTTTTTCCCTCTTTATATTGATAACCTCAATACAGTTGGTGTTAGGATAAAGAAATTAAGAGATAAAATGTAGTTTTACCAAAAGTAAACTACTGGTAGTCATTTAAGAGATTCTAGAGGTTATGCAAATGAAATACAAAACCTGTGAGATGAAAGGAAGTATTTTTATTTTTATGATGAAAAATCACATTTGAATGAGACTGACTCAGTAAAGGCTTCATAGATTCACAGAAAAATCTTTAGCTGAAATACTTTATTAAAATATTTGCTTTTTTTGTAAAAAAAGAAAAAGACATATAATGCTTATTAAAAGCTTGGCAAGTTTGGAATAATATACTTAGCACATTCAGAGTTAAACATTAGTATGTATAGCTTCACACAAACTGAGTTGGTCCAAAAAACCAACACCACTGATAAAGGGTTAAAAGATATTCCATGAAATATGAAAAACAACAACTGTTTCTCTCTCTCTCTCCCTCTGCTGTAGTTATATTTGGGTATAAAATTGAGAAAATTTAATAAAAGTTGTAAAAATATATTTCAAACATCTATGTGAAAACAAGAAAAAAATATCTTTCTCTAGGTTAGACAGTTAAGAGTGTAGTGTTAGTGTAGGCATATAGTAACTCTATTTTATTATAACATACAGTTTTTACAGTAAGGAAGATTTGTTTCTAGAACAAGTACAATGTTTCAATTACAGGTGAGATCATTCTTCAATTACACAAGTTTTGATGATAAAGAAGGTTTTAGTATTTAAATTTTAGAATTGATAGTGGTTACTTATGCATGTGCATATCAATCTGTGTGAATTGACAGATTATTTATGGCTGAACAGAAAAACAAACTAAAAATGAATAAATATAGAATATGTTAGGTGAAATATTTGCATAACATTAGGAGTGTCTGGGGAAATAACGATCAAACACATATGGAGATATGCCTGGGTATTTGTTAATTGTGGGATTATTTGATGTTATTAATAAAGCTTCTCTGATTTTGCTTCTTTTAATGTCAGGTTCATATTTTAGTACTGTGACATTCTGTTCAGAAAAACTGTTTGTTTTTGTTCATATGCTTATGGACTTGGAAAGGGGATTTTTGGTGTTCTTTTAACCTGATTTTCAAGTTACACTCTGTTTCACCAATGGCCCCATTTCACCTATGTAAAAGGCTGTGCAATTGTTACACTGTATTTTGTAAATGTTTCCTGGTGTGATGGGTTCACTATATATAATCTTCTTAATATGTTTAACTTTTGTTCCAGAGGTGAAATTTATCTTGGTATTATGTTAGGGTTATAGTAACGTGCTAATCTTTTCAAAATTTCTGATAGACATATGCTAATATTTTCTATGTATATCAAAACACCAAAAAAAAAACAAAAAACTCCCCTTCCAAAGTACATGAACATATGAACAAAAACAAAGTTTTTCTGAACAGAATGTCACAGTACTAAAACATGAACCTGATATGAACAGAAAAAGAATCAGAGAAGCTTTATTAACAAAATCTAACAATCCCACAATTAACAAATACCCAGGCGTATCTCTGTATGTCTTAGATCGTTATTTACCCAGACAATCCTAATCTTATGCAAATATTTCCAATAATATATTCTATATTTATTCTTTTTTTTTATGTTCAGCCACAAATAATCTGTAATTCGTACAGATTGATATGCACATGTATAAGTAACCACCATCAATTTTAAAATGTAAATACACTGTTCAATTGCTGAATGTTGATTCAAATACCAAAAGCTTATTTACCATTAAAAGTTGTGTACTTGAGAATGATTGCACCAGTGATCGAAATATCATACCTGTTCTAAAAACAAATCTTACTTACTGTAAAAGCTGTAATGTGTAATAAGATACATAATCAGTAAGTAAACTCAAAATGAAACTATATTGTACCTCTGTTTTTATATTAAAGTCACTTTCTATTTATGTTAGAGCAAGAGAAGAATATACCACTTGGAAGAATATTTTAGATGTGTGTCTCCATAAAGTCCTGTAAAATGTGATATTTTGTATGAATAGTACTTACTTGACATAACAGACATCAGAAATTTCTTACTTAACTGAAGAAAAAATGTAGATGAGCTTTTACCCAAGTTGGTTTATGGTGAAGAACCCAGTGAGCATTATTACTTCAATCTGGTACTAGACATACACACACAGGTTTAACTGATTATAAACTTGAGAAAGGCTTCAATGACTAAATGCAACACACACAAAAATAGGAACCTACCCCTCTGAGAATACACAGCACTTAGCCTAAGTCTAGTCCACTTCATGCTGATAGTGTTGCTTCTTCTTCACATTTCTAATCACTAATCTTGTTAACACAGCTCACAGTTCTTTATGTAATCTTTCATCTCTACTTTTTCTTAAACACATAACAGTTTGAAAAGATGATGGGTGTAAAAAGTGGGCTTTAAATCCTTATTATTTCTTAAAATATATCACACAAGTTTCGACTGGAGGCCAATATCTAAGAATGACAGCAATAGCCCACCCTCCCATAACTTAGTTCATTTGATAGATAACTTCTCTGAGAGCAAGTCCACTAAAAGTTCCTTATTCCCTTATATCGTGAGCTTTCATATACCAGTCTGGTTTCATTTAAAAATATCAGGTTGATGCACAGCACTGAATTGTTAACACTGGAAACACTCTGACAGAAAGGATGACAGAGTGCAACCACTACATATGCTATTTTTAGGGGTTGAAAAAAAAGGGATGCATGTATACTACACACATCCAAAAGCTCATTATGATATTTACTTTTATTTGGGGAAAGAGGGATTGTTTATTAAATAAATATTATATAAATTCTGAAAAATAAGATTAAAAAACAGTCATCTCATGTTCTAATCTATTAAGGGTTTTAAAATAAAATGGAAAATAAAGCAACACAGCTGTGAATGGTTTTTAGAACATTTTTCATCAGCAAAGCTGAGTAATGATTATCCCTTGTTATAATGGCTGAGTGGCTTTTTTTTTTATCTGGCCACTTGTTCTCTAAAGGCCTCCCTCTGTGCAAAAGGGAGGAGAATAATATTAAAGATTTGTCACACCAATGGCACTTTGAATCTGTGTTAGATGTCCTGATCACAGCCCATGGTTCAGGATCCTTTGAACACAACACTGGTATTAAGTCTAACCTCATGGGATCATGTGGGCTTCTCCTTGACGATGAAGAGTAATCCCTTCTCTCATAACGACGATCTCTGTGATAAGCATCTCTCGATGTTCGACTACCATGAGGCCTGGTGTGTTTCATTCGTCTTAGCGGACCAGAGAGATCAATGTGTTCATCAACTGGAAACAAACGACACAGTTCTTCTGCAACTCTGGGCTCTATCTCCTGGTAAATATAATGTACAACATTATATCTATCTAAATTCAATGTATACATACAACAGATAAATATTACACTACATGAAATATAAAATGATCATTAGATGATTTATATTTCTGTTCAATGTGAAAATTTTTATTTAGTGCATCATGTTATAGGTTTTCCTCTCAAAAAGTTAAAATAGATCCAACTAACCTGTCCATCCCGTCCTATTTTCACTTGCTTTCCATCATTCCAAGGGTTGTACAGATGTTGTGTCTTAGTGAATGCAAGCTCGTGCCTTTGTTGAAACAATAACAAAGTTATAAAAATCAAATCCAAACCTTACAAGCTTTCAGAAAACCCAAAACTGACTACAGAGTAAAGTGCTCACACAATCATTCCAGGTAGCAAATACTCCAATTTCAACTGTCTAATCTCAACTAACCATCTTACCATGTCTTCCAATAGCACAAATATAGATCTTATCACATCACTCATCCCTATCCAGACAACAGAACACCTTACAGGTGTCAAGTTGCACACACTTGCAGATCAAATTTCAAAATTAATAATTCTAACTCTATATTTCAACAATATTTGATGCAAAGATATTTTAGAATTGACATTTAGTCATTATATAAAATATATTTATTGTAATTTGTAAAGAAAATTGAAAACATGTTCCAATTTTTATTTCTATGCATTTCACTAGGAGTCTTACCTAGAAACAACAACATATTTATAGACTGTTTTAGAATATTTCTGCCCATTCCAAAGTTTATCTTTGCTGAAAAACTATCATCTTTTGAAAATATAATGATTCATGTTGTTATTCATGTTTCTTTCTTTTTGTATTAGTGATTTTATTAATACAGCCCTTTGTTGCCACTCTTTTATGATGTTACAGCACATGGTCTGAACAATTATTAATAAAGCTCAGCTTTGAAAATTGATAGAGCAGCTTTTATTCTATCTATGTCAATGTAGAATACATAAAGCAATTAGAGCACTAATTTGTGGTTTCTTGAAATACAGTTTAGATAAAGCTCATGTAGGAGTAAGCAAAGAAATCTGAAGAGGTGTTTAGCAGACTAAAGAACAAACCACAGATCTGGGTGCTGTTTTATAGCTTTTTTCATCCACGAATAAGTTTTTATGTTAAATTATACCTGTTTGACAAGACATCATCTATGAAAAGACATCAAGTAGGCTTATTCTGATGACTCAAATCTGTATTTAATGAATATTACTGATCGGTTCATTGTATTCACACAATGTACACAAATAAAAGAACTTATTGTATATAAACTATATTTATTAGATGGAAATTGATCTTGACCAACAATAATATTAGCAAAAATCATGACACCCAGCCTGACAGCCGCTATGAAAGCTGAGGTCCTATGTCCTTGATAACTGTTTGTCAGAGTTTTAAAGATTTATAACATGTAGTAGTGACTAATGCAACTGGGAAAACAAAATATCAAAGGAAATATGTTAATGAATGTCGAGCAAGGTAAAACTGACTGTATATATAACATGGAACTTTCTGATAAACAAGAAAAAAAATAAAAAATTCTAAGATGAAAGGAAGTATTTTTAAAGTTTTTCCAAAAACAATGTTTCACAACAAACTTTTGGTAATTACCCAACCTAAAAAAATGTAGAATACTGCATTACATTATGTTCATTTTTTTCAAGCAGAATCTAGATATTATTTATTAAGTTTGTTTGTTTGTTATGAATTTCGCACAAAGCTACAGCCAGCTCTTGGGCTACTCTTTTATCAACGAATAGTGGGATTGGCCGTCACATTATAACGTCCCCATGGCTGAAAGGGTGAGCATGTTTGGTGTGACGAGTAACTCATACCCATGACCCGCAGATTGCGAGTCGAGCACTCTAACCACCTGGCCATGCTATTTATTAAGTTTGTACTAAGTTTCGTGCAATTTAGTTAACCCTTTAGCAATGGATAAGTCAAAGTGCACACGTCATATTCAAAGTTGCATTCAAAATTTAAACTACTTTATTATCAATGTATATGAATACACTTGGTATCAAAATAAAGTTAGTAAATTAAATTTTAATATTATTTAAGTTGTAAGTCCTTAGTTTTATAAGGAAATATTTAAAATAATCCTCAATCTCCCCTGAGTACAAAAATTGTGACATTTACCTTCTAAGTCTTTCCCTTTATCTACTTTATTTACCACGTCTCCGAGAAGTGTAGAATTTAACATAAGCTACTCATTATAATATCAGTATCACTCAGGTACAGCATAATTTTTATAGTATTCAATCTTATTTAATTACAGAGCCATAAACCAGAAAATCAAACCCACTTGTCATGCCCACCTGTCACATCCTCTCTTTCACAAAAATAGTTTTCTCTGATGTTTTATACTATATTATTTATATCCAATTAAAAGCCAAAGTTTTAATATATCAAATGACATTATATTACATTATTTTCTGTACAGTGGATTGTCTATATCACCTCTCAGGAATCAAATCGACAAGCTTATCTGAATTTATAAAAGCTCTTATCACATAGAAAGCCAGAAAAATTATGATAGCTATAGGACGTTGTTTGCTTTTAGAATGTTTATTCTGTGTTCTCAGGTGCATTATTTATTTAAATAAAAAGTTATTGATTGCAGTAGTACCAACAGTATAAAAAGCAGGCTTAAGTTTCATCGACAATTGACAGCAAAAAATAACAAGATCAAGGTAAGTGCTATATTTTTTGTTTTTCATGTACGTTCTTTATTTATTATTATAAATGTAACTAAAATGTAAAAATTAGAAACTTGTAAGGTTAGATTGGGTAAGATAATGAGAAACAATAATAATAGAAATTCCTCATGAGGTATGCTTACAAGCAGCTCAATAGGGTAACATGAGCTGCATGAACACTGAGTGACTTACAATTTGTGTGGCAGGATTATTAGCTAGACACGGGTCAAAGGCAATAAAACAATAAAATTAAATATAAACAAATGTATACTGTTAAAGATTCATGTTAGTTAGGATAAAGAATCATGATTTTCTGCTACAATTTACAGTCATTCCAGAAAGAAAAAAGGGTAATTTAGATTTAATTTCTAAATTTTTATGGCCATTACAAGCTCAGTCAAACCGACTGACTCTGTATAGAGTTATAGTATAGAAAAGTTTGATATTTATATAGAACGTTTTAGGGATTATTCAAATAAACGTTGAAAATTTTCAAATGCAGAAAAGTATTTTTTAATATTAACATGAAAATCATTTTGCATTCAGAGCAGTCAACACTCGACTCCATAAATTTACAAAGTTTCAGTATATATATATACTCAATTCAAAATTATGATTCTTTGTCTACAAAAGACTTTTAATGTTTACGTGGTGGTTACATGTAAAATACACAAGCCTACTGCAAAAGGGTTAAGTAATATCACTGTGAGAAGGAAAAAATCAGAAAAATCCCTCTGGCCCAAAGCATGTTAAAATTGTCTATCAGTGATCATTTCAAATATTAATATACACACTCCAGTAAATTGTAGTATATCAGCTAAATGACCTCATAAAACTACATATTTTATATACCTAAAATTATCAAAATTATTTTATGAATACCAGCATGTTTGATGTGGTCAATTATTATCAGGTAACTAAGTTTTACACTAAACAGTACAAGTAATATTTTCTATTTAGTTCATTATCTTAATAATTAATATTAAACAATTAATGAAAAAGCCTACAAGTGAAAAAGAGACTGGGACCAGGATTTGAACCTGAGACCTCTGGCTAGCAAGGGCAATGCTCTCTTCTATTGAGCTACACAAGAATATAAGCTGTCCCCATAAATGTTCACTTCCAAAACATATCACTATGAATATGATCACTATATGCTGTTATGGTCAGGAAATTAGTGGATTGATTTATCATAACCCAAAAAAGGTCTAACTAGACTTACATGAATTTATATATATATTTAATTCATTATGTTTCCTGTATGATGTCCTTTAGCTTCACCATTACTTAACACCTCAGCTACCCATTCCAGAGAAATCATTAAAAGAATTGTACAGATGATCCAAAAGATTCCACCAATCACATACCAATAAAGACCAAGTATCTGACTGATAAATATTTTACTGGTTATGAATTATTTTTACAATTATTAGCTCATTGTGCAGCATGGTGACTACGAGAAATGCTTTTGAATAAGTTACAACAAATATTTTTTTTAGATGACTACATCACCTTTGTAGAAATTGAAGGAAAATCCTAAACCATTTAATTTATCAAAAGAAAAATTTATCTGATAAAATATTAAGAGACAACAGAAATACTGTAAAATACTAAACCACACAAAAGAAACAGTATTGTAATTTTAAACAAGACTGATCACATAAAAGTTTAAAAGATTGTCAGATCAGACTAAATTTGAGGGCTTGGATTTTCACTCTGCTGTCAAAAGACAAAAGTTACAAAAATATATATACAACATTAAAAGAATAAACATGATAAAAATAATATTATACACAAACAGTAATTCAAAAATTATTTCAGTGAAATCCCTCACCTACAGATCCAGTCTACCTGAAATACTCCCCCAAGAGCTCTAGCACTAAGCCCAGGAGGAAGAACCCACTGGATAGAAGGACCATCGTGTCTTGAATTACCAGCCAGTCGGGCAAACCCTGTTGATTAGAGTATTAGTAGTCTGTTTTTTTATTAGTACACGATCATCACCACAGTGATGAGAATATTTGCAAACCAACAACAGGCATTTCACTAAAAATAAGCTCTATGTAAATATGTATGCACAAGTACAGAGATGTACGCTTGTAAGTTGAAACACATGTATGCATGCAATCAAGATAAATCCATTATTTAGATATTTTACCAGTTTAATCCTACAAAACCAAACTGTATTTAACTCTCTCTCTCCTGACTGATAGGGATAAGTGGACTTGTATTTGAGGCTTTAGCTTCCCTATCACCTGAGAGTTTGCTAAACAAAGAACCAACCCTAGGAGCACAGTTAGAAAAAGTAGTAAAGAGTATAAGGAATTAAAAAAAAATTATTACCTTGAAATTTTCCACTTCCTTTCACAGAAAAGATTAACAGAACATTTTTTGATTCCTAGAATACAATGAAAAATATTTTTTTCTTAAGTAAGCTTACCAATAACACTAACATACTAGACTTTTAACAAAAAAAAAGTTCCCAAATCACCTTTCACTTTATACTTTTACCTTTCTTTTTTTAACACGTGAAAGCTGTCTTTTATATAAGGAAATAATTTAAGGATCAAAATTACTAAAGCACTTATGAAGCATTCAAACCTTGAAGGCTTGGTTCAGTTTAGATTCATTCTGTGGGGGGGTAGACCAAACACCCTGAAATAAACAAAAAACAAATGTATTTTTTTTTTATCAGTAGCACAGACTAATATTGTTCAACAACTCTTATCAATGTTATCACTCAAACAAATAACCATGAACACTGACATTTACATTACTTCCTTCAAAAGCAAACATTGATAAATAATTGTGTTGATCGTATTAATGTTCTTGTTGAGTTACTTTAATCTTAGCTCTATTATTTTATCTTCAAATTACTAGATAATTCAACGGATTGGTTATATTACTCATAATGATGGATAACTATTTGCTTAAGGACCAAAACTGTATGTCTATATTCTCTTTATTTTAAGCAGTTGATTAAAAATTCACTCTTGATTAACTCTCTTAAGGGCTCAGTCACTTTGATTGATCTTGCAATCACCATATAACCATAAATTTTAATGTAGTAGGTGTATCTTCATGAAATTTGGCAAGCTTTCAGTAAACACTACAAGTATTTTGTATACAAAATATAAAATTTTTAATTAAGTATTTTTCCTTATGATTTGTCTGTGAATTTAGGGAATTAGAGTTTGACTTGTCTGAGTGAAAGATGATTTTCATGTTAAGATTTAAAATACTTTATTTCACAGTTTTCAAATTTAATTCAAACAACCTCTAAATTCTCCTAAATGAAAACCAAAGTTTTTTAATAAAACTATATACTTTATTTTTATGTTCTCAACTCTAACACTATTTGTATTTGGTCATTTTGCACAACCTTGTAACCACCACATTCTTTCTAGAATGACTGCAGATTGTAACAGAAAATTAAAATAACTTATCTTAAGGCATATACCAATTCATGCTTGTTTTTATTTAATGTTAATTTTTTTTATTTCTTGTTGAAACATTTCTAACCACATGGGCAAAAGTGTCCAAAGGACATTTCTACTGAAACAAATCTGTTGGCTGGGGTTTGGGGCTGCTTAGGCACCCAAAAGCTATGAGATTGTATATGTTCTAAGATGCAGTCTGAGCTATTCCAGACAATTTTCAGAATCAAATTTTAACTTGGACTTACTAGAAAAAGGAAATTCAGAAATCTTTACAGCTTGTCATGTTGCTAGATGGGCCAACTGATAATCACACAAGGCTCAGTTGCACATAAAATACATATCGTTGTATTAACTAATTATGATCCTTTCCTTGTACTAATGAAAAATGGTTGGAAGTTTAGACAAAAAAGTATTAGAGTATTGTCAGCAATAAAACACAAAACATGTTTATTTCACATTTGATTTAAATCATGCTTTGTAATCATGTCTTGATAAGGCCATTTTGACAGATTTTCATATACAGAAAGAACTTCACCCATGTACTAATAAGCCCACAATATAAGCTGTAAATCACATGGTGAATACATAGCTGAAGTTATAGTATTGAATGACGTAATGTACGAGCAAGTGAACATTCATCATGTATAAATTTGTTATTATTTTTTCATAATCTAAATAAGTTTTGAATTTTTATATTTTAGTAACTTTTATAACAATAAATTTATTACTTATACTAGTAACTAAAATGATTTTTTTACTTATTTGAAATATCACTAAAGACCAAAAAAGTAGTTTAATGAAATTTTCAATGCAACTCTGTAAAAAACATCATGACATGCACACTTTTACCTACTCATAGTGAGAAGGTTAACATATACATACCATAAAATATTTAAATTTACATAAAATCTACAAACCCCTCTTGAGTAGTAACCTGAAATTTATTCTCATGAAGATGTAACAGCCAAAGAACACAGCTTTTTAGTCATGCCCCTTTGTTCAGTATTTATTTTATGAACTCATTTTCATCTGAAACACCAATCAGTATTTGATAATGAACTATCTTTTAAACACCCTATTGCACTTCACTAAATATTATAGCACTTAAAACAGCAATTTCTAGAATTATATACACAAAATGTAATATATTTATACTAAATACATTAATATGAAAAATTAGTAAACGCACTCCTTACCTTGGCTTTAGATAACACAACATTTTCAATATTATTACTTTTAATCAGGAAGAACCTCGCATCACGGAAGAAGTACTTCACCAAATGACTATAATCTAAGGTACAAGAAGTAAGAGAAAGAAAATATTTGAACACTTTAACCAAATGAGAACTAGAGTGCTATATTTAGAAAATGCAAAAAAAAATTAACGATCAAGTGCAGCATTTTGCAATACATTTTCTGACTTTTTTTTATTGGGTGTGCACATTAACAAAGATTAAGATCTACAGTTTTATGTCATCTTAATTTCTCTCCTACCTGGTTTAGTGTACTTCTAACTTGTGAAAACTCACAATAATCATACCTTTCTTATTTACAGAAGATGACACTCTTCCGCGTTTAGGACTTCCTGAAAAAAATTCAACCATTCTCAATAAGATAATCAAGTTGATATGTATAAACAAATATATAGTTTTTGATATTTAACTATCACAAAGCCTAATTTAGCATAGCCCCTATAACTATATTTAAGTACAGGGTTCCCACACTTTCAGCAGAAAAAAAATCAATAATAATTCTTGAATTTTTTCAGAATATTTTCATAAGTTTCAAAAATCATTTCAAATTTTTGTCTTAGAATTTCTAGCATAAAGTTGATGATCAACAACATTCTATTCAAGTCAAGCATAAGTTAAGAATCATGTTGTGACTGTGTGTTCATAATGTGTAGTTGTTTACTTTAATATGACAGAGCTTGATATTAAAGTGAAAATTCACTTGTCCATTCGGGCAAACAGATGGTAAATTTCAAAACTCATTTTCTTTTACCCAAAAATTATTAGTGGAAAGAATTTCTTGAGCTTTCAATAATTTGATGTTTTGTTGTTTGTTTATTGATATATTAATACAACACAACATTTCCAACAGTATATAAGTAATTTAATGAACTATACAAGTGAAATGCACTCAAAATGACAAATGAATACCTTTTCAATAAAACATTACTGCTGAACGTAAATTTTTCAAATTAAAAGTGTATCTCTTTACAAGACTTATTACGTCTTCTCTTATGCTTCTCCTCATAGATTTTGTTGCTTTTAACATTTTCTGATTTATTTCCTGCTTTAAATTTTCTTATTCACAGCCGTTTTTAAGCCCTGACATTTGAAAAATGCACAAGGGTTATAAAATCCCTGCCAAATGGTACACGGAGGCTGTTTGCAGGCTAATGCCTTATCTCTATTCTTTGTTTACAAAACTGGACAATAAAAGTTAATTTGTATTTGACTGAACTGTACTGTTTTTCTATCAAGTGAACCTGTGGTTATACTTCAAGGGCAAAGAATGAGCAAGAGCCAAATGTAAAAAATTAGTATATCAATTTGACAAATAAACAAAGTAACAATCAGTAACATTTTTATACCCAGGAAAATTGGAAATATCATAATGTTATAATCTTCTTAAAGTCTGGAATATAACATCTTGACTAAAAACATATGATAATTACTCTTTTGTAACTTACAAACAAGAGTAAAATGGTATTTACATTTTTCACTACAAAATAAAATATCAGTTTCACTATTTGTTAAAAAAATTTTAAGTCACAAACATGCATACACACATATCATAAACAGAGTTAATTTGAAGTATACCTACTATGCATAGTTATTTATATGTACCAAGATCCTTTGTTATGTTTGTGTTTAAGTGTTAGCTAATGGAACATATTCTATCATTATCCTCACACACATTGTGTACAGCAGAATCATCTCCATCAGCAGTGTCAACATCAAATGATTGCTGTCCATTTAGCTCTTGGAAAAGAATCACATTTATTTTAGCCTCATCACTCAATCTGTAAAATCAGAATCACCTTCATCATGATCTCTATAATCACTTCAGACTTCATCACCAATACACATGTTAGAAGGATTTCTATCAAATTTCCTTTTCTCCCTTTTTGCCAAAAGTTTTCTAAAGCTACTTCTAATATTTGTTCCTTTTCGTCATATATCCAAACAAAATTATTTATTTAAACTAATAGAAGACTCTCCACTGCTGCATGTTTTACACTAAGCCTTTGGTCAATGATCATATAGGTAAGGTAACTAATCCTTGCCTCAACAACACTAGTACCAGGTTTTATGGAGAGCACTATTTCCATTAGCATACAAACATTTTTAAATTTCTTCCTTCTGTATAAAAGTACACACTCCTAGAGATCCTTAGTTTTGACTGTTCATGTAATACTTAACCATTCTGTCAGATATAAAAAACTGTTTGGTGTAAGTAGTATTATTAATTATTTTTTTTGTGTTTGCAATCCACTGATGTCAAGGCTATGGAGACTTCTAGAAGGCCTAAGTGATAGATGTATAAATAGCTGTGTCCAGATGAGTGGAAACAAAGTTAGAGTAAAGCCACGTGAAAGAGAAGTTTGGTCAGAGAAAAGTCAGAAAACATAACATTAACTGTTGTGGGAGTGAATGGCCTAACAGTTGATATGTTAGACAGAGATTAACAGTTTGAAAAAGATAAGGAGAATAATTTGTCTCATTAAAGGGGTGTTCTAAACTAACTGAAACCGCCTGTGTGGACTTTGACAAAAGGCAGAAGATTATTGGAAGTTCATGATACAACTCCAGTAACTCATGTGACAGCATAAGTGTGTTATATATGGATACTATTGGAGTAAAAAAAAAGAAAATAGTTTGGCTTGTCAACTGAATTCTATAGCAATTGAATTGGCCTAAGTGGACTTTGACAAGAAGAATTGAAATGTATAGTGTTTAACATACAACTATAATCTCCATAGTGTAAAGAATGTTTTGTATATATGTTTGTCTTGTTTTTATTATATATATTATTTTGAAAACAAGTGGAATGCATGCTGTACATTTATTATCAAATTTATTGCAAACAAGTCCCAGACACCTACTATAGAATTATCCTTAGCCCAACATACCCTCATGCTGTTTGAGTACAAGAAGGGAAACAATGCCTCTGTAGCCACAAAGAATATCAAAGAAGTTTATGGAAGTGTTTTGAACGTTCATAAGTGTCAACGTTGGTTCAGCAAATTTCGTTCAGGTGACATTAGCCTTAAAAACTGTGATGGCAGGGGCCAACATGTTAGAATTGATATTGATGCACTGAAGACGCTTGCCAAGTCTAACCCAAGGCAACACAATCGTAAAATGGTCCTGAAATTGCATATCTCTCATGAAACAATACGTAAACATCTAAGGAATATGGGAAAACTCCATAAAGAAAGTGTTTGGGTGCCTCACAAACTCTCCAATGACCATCACCTTCCAACGTGTGAACGTTGCTTCGTCTCTTCTGGTGATGAAAAATGGATTTTTTATGCAAATATTAAATGCCAATAATAATGGCTCAGTCCTAGACAAAAAATACTTCTTATTCCAAAACCTGGACTCCATCCGCAGAAAGTAATCAATAAAAATGGAGACTACTTCATTTAATAAATGTTTTGATATACAAGTTGTTCAGGTATCTTCTATATATATATATAAATATATACACACACACACACACACATATATATATATATATACACACACACACATATATATATACACACACACACACACTCTTAAAAAGTAAGTTTCTGACACATTCTCTTGAATTCCTTCCATTTTGAGCTTATCTTAGTTTAACAAAATTTAACATATTTAGTGTCTCATAAAAATGCTCTGCAAGTAAATTTAAACACTCAATTTCCATGGTGGTGTTATCCAAATATGCTGGATCTATCCAAAATATATTTTGATAAAGCTCACACTCAAATGAAGAGAATCTTAATTCAAGACATGCCTGTACACTTGGAATGACTATAATTTTCAGTTTGTTTACAGTTTCCTCAGCACAGTCTACAGTGCTCATTAGACTGTAATTGACACTGACAATAGTGTATTCCCCATTTTCTATTTCTGGTGCCCTGCTTTAAGCAAAGTGCTCTTAAGATGCTAGGAGCCTAATTTAATTTCCAGTTCAAGTTTGAACTTTTTGAAAAGATTTTCACAGTGTGTACCTGAAGTTTCTTCCTTGAGATCCTGCAAAGCATTCTTTGCTTTTCCTACCAAAGACAATATCTGATGGCACAAATGTTTTATTTTTCAAACTGCATGGACAATATAGAACATGCATCCAGCACAGCTTTGTAGAAGCACATTTAGCCGATAATACTCTCTCTTTGCAACTGGCAAGGGAATTCTCTATTGTTTGAGAAGAATTACCCAATTAGTCAGTTAATGATTTACACCATATCTTATGTGTGAAACAAATTATGTACTAGGCGCTTTGAGCATATTAAAATGCTGCAAACCAAATGCTCTGGCAGTTATCTTAAAGTGACTTTTGGACTTTCTAGATGATTTGAATAAGTAATATATATATAATTGTCATGAAGTTTTTCACATTAACAAATGATTCAGATACACTAACTTTTAATGCCAATTCAACTCTATGGGAAATGAAGTGAATGCTCAGAAGCCATGGGCGATTGTAATTTTTCAGTTTTGTTAAAAATCTTTTGTAAACTACAGTATTCACAGCTAGCAAGTAAGTGTATTTCTCTACTGGAAATGAAACCTTTCCATCACCTTTAAATACATCATTAATGCTACACTTTATACCACATGAATCTGCATCACCAAACCTATCAATGTCCTATAAGGCAACAGAGAAATAAACTGGTATACCTTGCTTCACTGTTTTAATGAAAATCGTTTATTTTTCAAAGCCAGTTTTTCTTGCCTGACTTTCATCATTCAGCACTGCAAAAGCTATTGCTACTTTCTCATATCATCAAGTTAGGCCTTGGACCCATAACATAATAAATGCATACAAGGTCAATGACAATTTGAATGTAAAATAAGCCTAATTAAACCACTGAATGTGTAACAACTGTTTTGGGAACAACCATTTTTCCTCTGCTTTGTGTAGGGCTTGCAATTTGCATAAAAACCCAGGCCTATACAGGCAATGTTCGAGGTTTTCTTTAAATCAAAGGTGATATTATAGTATACTGACTGTAAAATGTAGGTAGTTGATGATAAGGTTGTATACATAATGTCAAACAACAAAGAAATATTGTTATAAATTTGAGTACAAAAACAAGATATACACATACCTTAAGCAATTTAGTGTGTTTTAGAATTTAAATGGCAAGTAAAAGTGTACTTCAATATGAATTTAGTGCCATATGTATATTTGTCCACCACTTGCTGACTGCACATTTTCACTTTATTCGAGATCTATTCACTGTATTTAGCAGAAAGCTTACACCAATTTTTTGTTATAACTTTCTCTTCCTAAGGTGTCCATTGAAAAAGAAAATCCAATTTGTTCACTCAGATTCCATTTGGCAAATGTTGTCAAAAAAAA